TGAAATGCAGATGGGTCTCTTGTGATGCAATAGTGAATAATTGTTATCAGGACTGATTGTGAGGGTTGGAAATGTAAAGGTGGACATTTTATAGCAAGGAGGGGAGTGATTAACTTTTCAGTCTAGGAGCGGAGGGCCCTGGGACCATCAATGGAGAAGAGCGGAGAGCGAGACCCTACTCAGAGAAGCAGTGAGGCCCAAGATGGAGGCAGAGAAGATGACGTGAAGAGATGGAGAGGCTGGAGACTTGAGATCCAGAAATGGAAAGGGACTGTGTGCTGAGGACCGTGGGGGGTAGGGGGACAGGCTTGCAGGGTATACCCTTTGGTTGGGTGATGATGCATGGACGGGATGGTAACTATGGCAATGAAACGATGTATGATAGAATGAATTAAAATTAATGTTCTCCCATGTAAACTATCACACAATTCACAATAAAACATTTATTTTAAAAAATAGTATAAATACTTTTCTGCACTATCTACCTCATTAAGATAATAGTAAATTTGTTCCAGTGTAAAGATAAACGACACTTTTGATTAAACATTCCCAGATATGAAATAAATGCACATAATACACTACTATGCTGCAAGTATATAGAGATAAAGTATTCTATCACGAATTGAATCAGGCTAATTTAGACTATTACAACTGTTAAGGGTTAGAAATCTATGAAATCGGAATCCTACCCTGTTTAAAATTTTACTAAACAACTATTTCAAGACAACCATTTGGTCTTAAGAAAAAAGACACTAAGGATAAAGACGTTGCTTTTACTAATATCCAGTGAACAGTCAATGCCATATGTATTGTACTAACTATTGGCTAACATTAACATAATAACTGAACCAAATCACTACTGAAAATAACAATCTTGTGTTAACAAAAAAAGTAAACTTCAAACACATACAGATTTTTTCAAGATAAAATTTACCTGTTTTGAATAAGGCCTGGGAGCTTCTCTCCGTTCTCGGGTCAGCCTCCAAGGAGTTATAATTTCATAAGAAGAGAGATGTGAGGTCTGTTGAAAGCCTATAGAAAAGGAAATTACAAATATGACATATAAATAAGTGAAAACTTAAAAAATACATATTATCAAAATACAGTTAAAATCAAAAGGTGAATCTCCAAATCACCAATCACCTGACATTCCCAAACTGAAACATATACATATACACACATATACATAATATATATATGTACGTGTGTGTATATACAAAGGAGCTCTGGCAGTGTATCGGGTTGGGCTGCTAACCTCAAGATCAGCAATTTGAAACTACCAACTGTTCCGTGGGAGAAAGATGAGGCTTTCTGCTTCCATAAAGATTTACAAACTCAGAAACCTGTACAGGGTTGCTATGAGTCGGAACCAATTTCATGGCACATAACCAACCAATACATAAATAAAACATGTGTCTTAGGCTGGGTTCTCTAGAGGGAAAAAAACAGCGAAACTTACATACAAAATTGAGTTAAAAATTATCCACACTGTGGTTATATTTAAACTCCCATCAACATCCCATGGCTGATAACAACATTGAACATGCATGTGAAATGATTCTAATACCCAAATCACAGTGGATTATGTGGCAAATCATCTACAGATCAGCCATAGTTCTGCCTATGAAAAAATCCATGATAGACTTGGGTTTTGAAAAGTTTGTGTGAGACAAGAAACAACTCATAGAGGAGCATAAACAGAAGCATTTGGACATCTGCAAAC